ATTTATTAAAGTTTTTTGTGTTAATTTGTTTTGTAAACATGTTTAGAGTTATGTGTGAAAAAAAAATATATATATTTTTTTTTTTTAAATTTTTCACTTACAAAACGTTTTTTTTTTTTTTTTTTTTTTTTTTTGTAGATGTGTGTGTGTGTGTGTGTTGTGTAATATATACAATGAAATGAATGACTAGAATGATGATAATCGCGATAAAATGATTTATAAATTATTATCATTATTATTATAAATAATACCTAATTCAAATAATAATTACTTATGACAATTTACGAATTTTTTTTTCAAATTTCAAATAACGATCTAAAATTTAATTATTTTTATTTTAAAAATTTTAATGTGAATAATTACCTTTTCCGGTTCTTCTTTTTCTTTAGCAGGAACCTTTTTAAGAACTGGCCGCTCTTCGACTTTAGCCGTTTCCGGTTCTTTCTTTTCCGTAACTTTTTTCGTCAATGGTTTTTCAGGTTCTTTCTTTTCTGCAACTTTTTTATCCAATGGTTTTTCTTCAGGTTTTTCAGGTTCTTTCTTTTCTGCAACTTTTTTAACCGATGGTTTTTCTTCCGGTTTTTCAGGTTCTTTCTTTTCTGCAACTTTTTTAACCGATGGTTTTTCTTCTGGTTTTTTCTGTTCCGGCTCTGGTTCTGCCTTCTGAAAATTTTAAATGAAAATATTAAAAATTTTATCATCATCATTTTTTTTTTCTGTTAATAAATTTTAATAAAAAAAATTCATTTGTTTATGTGTAAGTGTTATGCATTGAAGAGATTTTGTTGTTGTTGTTTTGTTTGTTTGTAAATTTGATTTGACACGTATGTGACATGTGTGATATTTTAAGAATAAAAAAATTTAAAAAAAATTTTGCAGTTGGTGATAACAAAAATTTAAAAAAGAAAAAAATGCGAAGCTTCAGGTTTCATCCTTTTGAAATTATAATTTTTTTTTTTTGGCTATGAAAAATCTTTTTTTGGTAATTTAAAAATAAAAGTTTTAAGCATTATAGTAGATAAAATGTTAACATGTAAGATAATTTACGTTAAGAGAGCACATAAAATGAACATAAATGAAAAAAAAACACAATTAAGTAGAAAGAGAGAGAGAGAGAGAGAGAGAGAGAAACATTTAAGTGAGCGCAAATTCTCACCTTAGGATTAGGGGTTAAATTTTTCATATCATAATAAGATTTTTCATCCAAAGATTTATCTAATGATGATTTTGTGTTATTTAATTCGTTATTATCAACTTTTTCATCTTGTGTGCTCTTTTCTTTAGCCTGATTCAAAATTTTATCATTGTTTGGTGTGATGTGTTTAATTTCAAAAGGTTCAATTTCTTCATTATCTTTTCCAGAAATTTTCTTTATCTGACTTGTTTTTGTTTCAATTGTTGTTTTTTCTGGTTTACTTTCATCTTTTGTTTTATTATCGTTAATTTCTTTTGATTTGTAATTCGTTTTGTTGTTGATTGTCGTTTTTTCAATCACTTTTTCATCAGATTTTTTCGAAATCGGTTTTTTTATTATTAATTTATCTGATGATGAAGACTGATCGGTATCGTTTTCGTCACTTTGTACTTTTTCATCTAACGGTTTTTCTGACTCTTTAGTTAATACTTTTGTGTTTTCAATTTCTGTTTTTGTTATAGATATTGAATTTCTTTTGTATGATAATTTTTCAGTGAGGGTTTCATCCGGAAATTGTTTTGGTTTTTCCTCATCTTCCTCCATTTTTTTCACGAGATCATCGGATTCTTTTTCAAACGGCTGTTTTTATGTAATTATATGAATGTGATTATCGGGTAAAAGTTTTAATGTTTTTTTTTTTTTGTGTGTGTGTAAAAAGTTTTTAGTTTGTTTTGTAATAAGTGTTTGAGAGATGTAAACATCTTAATTTTTGGACTTTGAATTTAATAATAATAATAATAAAAAACCTAAAATTTTTTTTACGTACCTTTTTATCTTCAGGTTTTTTAATAAGTTTTTTCGGTTGTTCATCTTTGATGCTTGTTTTTCTTGTGATGCTTTTTTCAACTTCTTCAACGACAGACGATTTCCTTTCGTTTACTTCTGCCGTGCCGTTAACTTCTTTTATCTATAATTATTTTAAAAAATGATCATTTTTTTTTTTTTTTTGCAATAAAAATTATTTTCAGTGATTAAATCTGAACTGAATGAATTAAAAAAAAAAAAAAACTTACGCTTTCTCTTTTTTTCACAGTTTTTTCAGTCAAAACTTTTTCTTCTTTTTTCTCAACCTCCTTCTCTTCGACAACCTCCTTTTTCTTATCTTCTACTTCCTCTTTCTTTTTAAGTACTTTTTCCGGTTTTTTATCATCTACAGGTTCTTTCTTCTTTCCTACGGGTTCCTTTTCTTCGATTATTTCTTCGATTTCTGTCTTTTCTTCTACCACTTTTTTAGTTTTAGTCTTTTCTTCGAGATCTTTTGTAACTTTTTTCTCTTCTTTCTTTTTCTTTTCTTCTTCTTCTTCTTCTACTACTTTCTTCTTCTTTTTTTCTAAATGAGTTAAACAAAATAACTTTCAATCTGTAGACTTGCAGTAAAAAAACAACAATTATAATTATTTTTTATAAAAATACCTGTGACTTTTAGGGAAGCCGAAGAAGATTCTTCGCTGACTGCATTAGAAAATTTGACTTTATAAGTACCCGTATGATCTAATTTAGTTGACACAATTTCCAAGGTGGCAGTTTTTCCATCAAAAGAAATTTTACAGTCACTTGATTCTCTTATTATTACATTATTTCTAGAAAAAAAAAAAAACAAAATTTTTTTTCTTACTCATTTAAAATCAAAAATAAAAAAATTGTCTTTCTTACCTGTACCAGATAACTTTGACGGTTTTGTCAGTAGTTTTAAGTGAACTGGAGAAAACAGCTGATTTTCCTTCTTCAACTTCCTGTAAAATAAATAAAAATTTTTAATTTATGCGTCTCGCCTCATTCAAATTTAATTAATGGAATCGAATTTTAACATAAAATATAATTAAAAACTTACCATGGCGCGCAAAGTTTCTGAAATTTGAACTTTTTGAACTTTTTCTTCTTTATCTTCTGGTATTTCGATAAGTTCAACAGTTTGTGATGTTGCTTCTCCCTTATCATTTTTAGCAACAAGTTTATAAACTCCCTTATCTTTTTCAGAAGCTTGTTCTATTTGTAATTTCACGTTAAATTCACCCTGTAATAAAATGCATGCGGGTTTACAAAATATTAAAAAGAATAAATAAAACTTATTATTTTTTTAAACGGAATCGTTTGTTTGTTTGTTACCTCTTTTGTTTGTTCTATTTGAACAGTGTGATTAGAATCTTCTTTAATAGCTTTTGTTTCTTTAAACCAGGTACATTGAGGTGTAAAAGATGATTGAACTCTGCATTCAATGATAACAGTTCGCTTTTTAACCACTTTTGTTATTTTTGGTTTTTCTTTAATTACCGGTACAACTGAAAATTTTAAAAATTGATTGTGTTACAATATAACGATCTTTTTTTTTGTCCAATGCAACAGGAAAAATATATCAAGGATACAAACTTTCAACGTTGAGTGTGAGATTCGCATTGAGTTCTCCATATTGATTTTTAATATTGCATTTGTAAAGACCCGAATCGGTTTTGTTTGGATCTTTCAATTCCAAACGTATGTAATATATTTCTTCTTTCTTTTCAATACTTATTGTGACCTTGGAAGATTTTTCAACTATTTTCTGTCCGTGATACCATACAATTGTGGGAGCTGGATCGGCTCTTACGCTACAGTCCATTACCACTAATTTACCATTCTTAAAAAAAAAAAAAAAATTTTTTTTAATTAAATAATAAAAACATTTCGTTCTTTAAATTTACTAGATTTTTTTTTTTTACCTGTTCTGATACTATTCGCGGTTTTTGAACGAAAATTGGTTCTCTTCCTTCTGGTTCTTGATCCGCTTCTATGTTCAAATTAAGGTTTGCATTGCTTTCTCCATAATCATTTTTGGCATTACACTTATAAGTTCCTCCATCTGAATTTGTGGGATCCTAGAAACCGAAAAATTTTATTATAAAAATAAAAAAAACCTTAAAAATTGTTTTTTGTTTTTAATAAAGAAAACCTTTTTTACCTGAATTTCAAGTATAAGTTCATAAACATCTTCTCCTAATTCAATTGTTTTCATTTTGATTTTGGATGATTCTTTAACAACAGCAGTTTCTCGGTACCATGTTACCACCGGAGCTGGTTTAGCTTTGCACTTACATTTCATTGTTATTAAAGATCCAGTGTCACTTGGAATGATTTTGGGTTTGTCAACGAAGGTAGGAGCAAAGCCTTCATCGTCACCACCTAAAAATTACGTAAGAAAAAAGCTTATGTAGTAAATTTATCACGACAATTAATTTCAAATAATCGCATTTTAACTTACCTTGGAAATTTAATGAGATATTTGCATTACTCTCTCCGAAGCAATTAAAAGCATTGCATCTGTAATTGCCGCCATCTTCTTTCGTAGGACTGATTATTTCTAAAGTAAGTAAATAAGTGTCTTTGCCTGTAGCTTTTCTCGACATTCGAACTCTGTTTGAGTCGGAAATTTTTTTTGTGCCTTGGAACCATGTTATATCGGGTAAAGGTTTAGCTTCTAGAACGCATTCCATAATTAAAGTTTCTCCATCTTGTCGAATGGTAGGCTTTTTTGGAAAGCGTGGAGGTTTTCCATCTGGTATTCTTTAAAAAATAAAAAAAAATAAATGCAAATGTTTCTTTTTATTTTAATTTTGTTTTTTAATTTTTGATAAAATGAAACTTACTTGGGTTTTTCTCCTCCTTCAAAATTCAAATTAATTGTTGCAACACCTTCTCCGTGTACATTTTTTGCAATCGCTTTATATTCTCCTCCATCAGCGTTTTCAACGTTAGAAATTTCTAACCTTGCCATATGATAGAGTTTTTGATCGAGTGTTAATGATGTTTTGTAACGTCCGCCTTCTTGAATTAAAGTTTTTCCATGATACCTACAACATAACATATAATAATAATAATGAATTCATTTTTTAAATATAAATTGAAGTATTCGGGTTTTTAGAAAAATATAACTAACCATGTTATTGTCGGTTTTGGGTCGCCTGCGCATCGGCATTCGAACGTAATTTTTGTACCATCATCAGACTGTCTGATGATTGGCCTTTCAGTGAAGGTAGGCTTAATGCCGTCCTCCGGGACCGGTGCTTCGTCACCTGGATAATTAAACAAAAATTCTTTTGTTAAAAACTTATTTAAAAATAGATAATAAAAAAATAAACAATTAACTCAAGTCGGTAATTCATTAAAATAAAAAAAAAAAAAAAATGATAAATTTTTGTGTAGTTAGTCGACATTTTTTTTTTAACTAAGTGAAATATTAGTCTTTATTTTATCGTTAATTATTTTTTTTTTTTTTTTTTTAAATTTACTCATACTCACTGTCGAAATTTAAACTAATTGTTGCGTTACTTTCGCCCAATTCATTTTTAGCCGTCACTTTATATTTGCCGGCATCTTCTACTGTAACATTTTTTATTTCTAATGTAGCAAAATATGAGTGTCCATCTTTATCGAGTAAAATCTAAAATTAAGCCAAACCAAGAAATTATTATTATTATTATTTTAAAAGATTATAATCTTTAGAAAAATTTTTCTTCTTTTCAAATCAAGTTTATTTTTTATGATAATAAAAACATGTAATAAATTATAAATGAAATATGTTTTTTTTTTTAAAAAAAAAAAAAAGTAGTAACCTTGTGTCTGGGAGTATTTTTAACGAGAACGCCATCGTGAAACCAAGTAACGGTCGGTTTTGGATCGGCTTGTATTCTGCATTCGAATAATAATTTTTTCCCATCTTCTTCTTGTCTTATGGCTGGTTTTTTAGAAAAAGATGGTGCTAGACCATCTATTTGCCTTTTAGAAAAATTAAAAATGAATAAATTAATTAAAAATCAAAACGAATTCACCAAAAAAAAATTGTCCTTTTCAATCGAGATAACAGAAAGCACTAGAACAAAAAATGATGGCGTAAGCTATTCGATTTACAAAATGGCCGAAAAATAAAACGATCTCATTGGTCGTATGAAAATTTTTTTATCTTTCGAATTTTAACGGAAAAAATAATAATAATAATAATTTTTTAAAATACAAGTGTTTGATGTTTGTTACATAATAACAAAAAATTAATTTATTACAAATCGATTTGATTCATTTATTTCGTTCGTTGATCTTTTTTTTTTCTTTTTTTCTTGTGTGTATCGAATCAAAGCCAAAATCTTTTGGGTGTTTGACGTTTGTCATCACCCACGTAATAGCCAGATAAAAAAAAAACAGTTTAAATATTGGCCAAATTCAAACACTATGAATGCGTTTGTTTGTTTGTTTATCAGAAAATCAAACATACTGCAAATTCATTTAAAAAAAACTTTAAAACTTGCAAACTATATTTAACGGAAATACATAAAAATTTTTTTATATATATATAAGTGACCTAAATAACCGTTAAAATTTAAAATAAGACAATTAATAGTTTTATTTAAATAAATTAAAATAAACAATTTTTTCCTTTGAATTTTTGAATTAAAATTTAAATTTAAAAAGAAAAAAATTTATTCATTACAATAATAATAATAATAATAATAATAATAATAATAATAATAATAATAATAATAATAATAATAATGGTAATTAAATTAAAAATAAAAATTTATTTAAGTTGCAAGAAGACAATTGAGCAAATTTTTTATTTTTTATTTTTTGTTGTTGTTGTTGGGCGTTTGCAACTTTGCCCAAAAATTTAAATTTTTTATGTTTTTTGATCTTCTTAATGCATACATTTATTATTATTATTATTATTATTATTGCTAACGTTTAATGTTTTATTTATTTATATTTAATCGCCAAATTTGATAAATTTTAAAAAATTATCGTTCGAAAAAAAAAAAAAAAAAAAAAAAATTAATTACTTACTTTTCTTGCGGCTCATCGACAGCTGAAACGAAAAACAAAAAAAAAAATTAATTAAATATATTTTTTAAAAAAATAATAATAATAATAATAATGATTAATTTTTTTGCTATCGTTAAACTTACGGCTAAAATTAAGGTTTATCGATGCCGCCACTTCACCCATTTTATTTTTTGCTTTAACTTTATAAAGTCCGGCATCTTCTTCGACGACATCATCCAATTCTAATGCGACAAGGAATTTATTGTTTTCGATTGGTTGCGTTTTAAAAACCGTTCGATTATCTTCGAATAATTCAGTTTCACCCCTAAACCAATGAATTTCAGGTTTGGGAGATGATAGGAGTTGGCATTCGAAGACGAGACGATTTCCCTCGTCTTCCTGACGAAGTTGAGGTTTTTGCGTAAAACTAGGAGCAAAATCCTCGGCCACTCCCATTTTATTTTTTTTTTTACGTCATCTGAAACCCCCCAAAAAACCAAAAAAAAAAAAAAAATTAATTAACGGTATTAAAAAAAAAAAACCGTGTAAAAATAAAAATTTTTTTTTTTTTCTCCTGCCCCTTTATTTTTATTTAGGGGGAGAATATGAACTCAACGAAAAATTTATTATTATTATCTTTTTTTTTTTTTTTGGTTTTTTGCACTAAAAAAAAAAAAAAAGAAATTTTTTTTTTTTATCGATGAGTAAACTATAAAATATTAGTTGACAGCTAAAAATAACTTTTTTTTAATATATATATATATATATAAATATAACTGCAGCTTTAAATTAAATAAATAAAGTTTTATTGTCACCGTTTTTTTTTTTTTTTTTGAAAAATGACGATTTAAAAATTTATTTTTTTATTCTTATTAACATTCAATCAAATGATAGATTATTTTTATAAATAATAATAATAATAAATTTGTTTGTAGAATTTAATAAAAATTTTCCAACGTTAAAAAAAATATTTTTTTTTTTTTTTTACCATAATTCCACATCGCACTTTTTTTTTTCTTTTATACGGAGGTAATTTTAACGCGACTTTATCTTAAGATAATCTTAACTAATTAAAAAATTTAATTTATTATATCTTAAAAATTTAAATAATTATATACCGGTTGTAGAACAACAACAACAACAACAACAACCAAAAAAAAATTTTTACAAAAGTGAGACATTCTAAATAAAACGAGCAATAATTTATAACAATAAAAAAAAAAAAAAAAAAAGGCGGTAAAAGTTTTTAAAATTTTTTAAAATGATATTATTAATTATTTATTTTTGCAAAATTGTTTTAAATTCGATGCCAGTTTTAATTAAAAAAAAAAAAAAAGAAAAAAAAGATGGAAAAAAAGAAAAGAATGGAAAAAAGGTGACCAAGAATGATATGTGAAAGGTGGTTAATTTCAATTTAAATAAAATAACGGGAGGCTGGCATCGGTCCAGACAAAACCAAAATTAAAAATATATTAAAATGAAATCCGTGATCAACTTACCGAGAAAACAAAAAAAAAAAAAAAAAGAAAAAAAGTATTTGTAGATTTATCTTTACAGGGTAAATGAAAATTAATCCCAACGAAAAAAAAAAAAAAATTTTTTTTTCTTAACACTGATCCGATATATACATTTACGATCGTTACGATAAACGACGGTTTTTTAAGAAATTTAAAAAAAAAAAAAAAAAAAACAAAACAAAAACAACAGAAAAATTAAAAAATAAAAACAAAACAAAATGGGAAAAATTTTCAAATGGGGGGAACTAAAAAAAAAAAAAAAAAAAAAAAGTTTATAAATAAAAAAAAAGTTTTTTTGTAAACGAAAATTAATATGACGTGCGCGTGCCCAGTAACAATATCTTCTGGCCTTATATGTCGAGTAGTGAGAGAGACGGCAGAAAAGAAGTTTTCGACCGAATTATTATATAATAATAATAATAAAACGACAGTAACGTTTCGATCCGTGGACGCCGGAGGACTGAACAATCAAACTCAAAATTTTATTTTTGTGTGTGACTTCGGATATTTATATATATTTATCCCACTCATATTCGACAAGGGGGAAAGAAAAAAAAAAAAAATCAAAAATTAAAAAAAAAAAAAAAAAAAAAAACGGCAGATTTAAAAGACCTTCCCCCTATCCTCCCTCCCTCCCCCCCACGCAACTCCTCTCATCTTCATCTCCCACCATCTCTTTCCTCTTTTCGAAAACGCTCTGCTTTCGACAAGAAAAAAAAAAATAAAAAATTTTTTTTCATTTTGCATTCCTGTGAAAATTCTCGATCCAATTTTTTTTTTAAATCCCCCCTTCCTTTCCCTTCTTCCCTTCCCACCTCCCCCACCCTATTAAATAGCTTAAGAGTTTTAACAATAAAATTTCAATTGAATGATGAAAATAGAAAAAAAAAAAAAAAAAAAATTTATTTTTGTTTTCGATTATCCGAAATTTAAACTGGATTAATCACTACTAATCCGAATTTATATAAATCTTGGATGGATTAATCCATAATCGTATAATCGTTAATCCAACGTAAATAAAAGGAAAAAGGAAAAACTATTTCGATATTTAATTTTTTCATCGTTACGACAATATTATTTAAAAAATATTATTATTATTATTATTATTATTAATTATTTCGAGTACGAGTAATAATAATAATAATAATAGTAATAATAATGATAATTCAAGTTCTTAATAATAATAAAAAAAGAAAAGTTTATATCAATTGTTTATAAGTATTGGCCCCCCAATACTTACTGGTAAAGTTACCGAAAATATTATAAAATCATTTATCTGATTGAAAAATATTAATAATAATAATAATAATAATAATAATAATAATAATAATATATAAGATTTTTATTTTAATTAGGGCCGATAGCCAACTAAGTCACGATTTTCTAAACTAACTTTTACACGTTTTAACCGGTTAACGACGAACGATTTGTTAAATAAGTAAAAAAAATTTTATTTATTTATTTATTTATTAAAAATAATGTAAACCGATGTAAATTTGGCTATTTATCAAATTTCGATGATGATGATGATGATGATAATATCATTTGGAATAAGTTAAAAACCTTATTATTAGTTTTATTATTATTATTATTATTAAAAGGTAAACATTTCAAACATTGAAGTTTATGTATCATTTTTTATGTATACATATATGTATTAATTAATGAATCGATTTTGAAAATTTTTTCACGTGTGATTAATAACATAAAAATTTTTTTTTACGAAAAAAAAAAGAAAACGTTTTCGATTGGAGGGAGTACGACGACGATGATGATGATGATGATGATTTTTTTTTCGGTTGCCAATGTTCCCACTCAAAGTGATTATTACGAGGAGGTATAATATTTAAAAATTGTTTTTTTACGACCCACGTAAATTTTCCTCGTAAAAAAATTCTATATATAATTATTTATATGATACAAAAAAAAAAAAA